TTTTCTGAGTTGGGAGTCTCACTCTGTTACCCAGACTGGAGTGCAGTGGCCGCTCCCGGCCACCGCAACCTTGACCCGCTGGGCTCCGGCGATCTTTCCGCCTCAGCCTTCCGAGTAGCCGGAATTATAGGCATGCGCTACTACGCCCGGCTGATTTTTTGATTTATTGTAGAGATGAGGTCTCGCTGCCCAGGCGGGTCTCGAACCGCGGGCTCAGGCAATCCACTCACCTCAGCCTCCCAAAGGCGCGGGATTACAGGCTGAGCCACCAAGCCCGGCTTCAAATGTATTTTGAAATGAGATCTGTAAATCACAAAATACGGCAAGCACCTATACGAGTATATACACGCCACTCAACTCTGACATTACCAAATTTACTTCGGATCTTTTATCTCAAATAATAAGCCTAGGCAACATAGCGAGACCTTGTCACCACAAAAAAAAAAGAAAAAGAAAAATTAGCTAGGTGTGGTAGCATGTGCCTGTTGTCCCAGCGACTTGGGAGGCTGACATAAGAGGATCACTTAAGCCCTGGAGTTTGAGGCTGTGGTGAGCTATGATCGTGCCACTGCACTCCAGCCTGGGTGACAGAGTGAGACCCCAACTCAGTCAATCAGTATATCTTTAATTACGCCATGGTCAGTGGCAGGGTTGGCATTTTCCATTTTGGGTGTGCCAGGTGGGGTTCATAGCAATAACCAGCATGAACCTCACTTGGTCCGAACCACTCAGCCACTTTTTCCGCACTCGCGACTGAGCTGTCGCATGCTGAGCCCCACACTCATTCTTCTGCAGAGGCTGTGATTTTTTTGTACAAATTTGCGGGGCACATGTGAAATGTTTTTTATTTTTGAGTTGGAGTCTCACTCCGTTGCCCAGGCTGGAGTGCAGCGGCACTCTCACAGCCACCCCAGCGTCAACCTGCTGGGCTCTGGTGAGCCTTCTCCCTCAGCCTTCCAAGTAGCCGGAACTACGTGTGCATGCTACTGTGCCTGGCTAATTATTTATTTATTTATTTATTGTAGAGACAAGGTCTCGCCAAGTTGCCCAGGCTGGTCTCAAACTCACGGGCTCAGGCAATCCACTCCCCTCGGCCTCCCAAAGTGCTGGGCTTACGGGCTGAGCCACCGAGCCTGGGTGTGAAATGTTGTTATATGCATATAATACACGGTGGTCAAGTCAGGTATTTAGGGTGTCCGTCACCCAGGAGCAGCACATTTGTGTTAACTATAATCATCCTCCTTTGCTGTTGGACACTGAATTTATCCTGTCTGTCTCACTGTATGTCTGCCCTCTTTAGCTCACTTCTCTTCAGCCTCCCCACTGCCACTCACCCATCCCAGGTTCTGTTGGCTGTCTTTTCACGCTCTACCTCCATGTGGTCAATTTTTTTTGTTTGTTTGTTTGAGTCAGAGTCTCTGCCGCCAGGCTGGAGTGCAGTGGCACAATCAATCACAGCTACTACAGCCTCAACCTGCTGGACTCAGGCGATTCTTCTACCTCAGCCTTTCAAGCGGCTGGAACTACAGGCACGCGCCACCAGACCTGACTAACTTTTTTATTTATTTTAGAGACAGAGGTCTCGCCACTTGCCCAGGTAGGTCTTGAATCCCCGGGCTCAGGCAATTCTCTTGCTTCCACCTCCCAAAGTGCTGGGATTACAGGTGAGAACCTCTGCACCTGGCACATGTGATGCAATATTTTAGCTCCACATACAGGTGAGAACATGTAATATTTGTCTTTTTGTGCCTGGCTTATTTCACTTAAGATAGTGACTTCAGTTCCATCCATGTTACTGCAAATGACAGGGTTTCATTCTTTTTTATGGCTGAATAGCATTCCATTGTGCATATACACAACATTTTCTTTATTCATTTATCCGTTGATGAGTACTTCGATTTTCCATATCTTTGCTATTGTGAATAATGCTTCAATAAACATGTGAGTGCAAGCCAGTGTGGTGGTGCGCATCTGTAATCCCAGTCACTTAGGAGGAGTTTGAGGTTGCAGTGAGCTATGATCACACCACTGCACTCCCTACTGAGCATCAGAGCAAGACCCTAAAAAAAGGGGTCATCAGCCGGGCTCGGTGGCTCAGCCTGAAATCCCACGCTTTGGGAGGCCGAGGAGAGTGGATTGCCTGAGCCCGCGGGGAGAGGATTGCCTGAGCCCGC